AGGCTCAGTCATAGAAGAGTAGTTTGTTTTCCTGGCCTTACTCTGTTGTGGTATGCATGACATTGTGAATCTTGTGGCAAAACTTTGGTTTTGACTGTTCTGGAGATCTGTGTAATGAGTTAGATATTTGGGTGTTTTTTGTATTTAAGGCACTGAGCGGGGCACTAGTTCCTGTTGAGATTGTTATGAATTTAGGAATCCAGGCTCATCTGACCTCTTGAGTAAGCTCCTCTTTCAGAAGATGGAGGGGAAATGCACACTCACCCCAGGGAAGCCTCTTCTGAAGAGTTGGCATTTGCACAGCACTTTCGGCAGTGAGTAGAAATTGGGCAGACTGGTGTTATGAAGACCTAGGGAATAGCCTGGGGAGCTCTCAGACAGTGGACACTGGCACCTGGGCACTTGTGGGTTGGTTGCGTGGTACCTGCTGAGTGGTAGAACTTTGCTTCATTTCTGTTCCTTCCTGTGTGACTGGAATACCTGTCTGTCAGAGCTTGGGACTGCAGCATTTTAAGTGGCCAGTCTCTCAGCCATGTCTTCATGTCTCTGGCCAGGGGTATAGGGCAGATACCATGTGGTGGTGGTGACCGGCTCATCAGCTGACTTGAGGCTCAGTGGATGGACTCTTGATGATAGACTGTCGAAGTGCTATCTGTGAAGCCAGACCGTTCAAAGGTCATACCCACCCACTGTGAGGGAGCAGGAAGGATACCGAGACCCTAAGCCATCAGCCAGAACAGCTGATGTCTTGGTACTTAAGAATGTTGATGGCTGCTTGGACATCAGTAGAAGTTGGTGTGGGGAAAAATGAGGAGGTGCTGTTTAAAGGAGAGAGAAGTTGTTCTGAGTCAAAAAACACTGTGGAAGGGGATACTGTTGGCTGCCCCACATGTGTGGACCCTGTGCTCAGACCTGCATCACAACCCTCTGAGCAGTGTCTCCTGCCATAGTGTTTCTCAAGTGAAATCTTGTTTGCTATCATGATGAAGACCAGCACTGGTTGATAAAAGTACAGTGTGAGCCACACACGTACTTTCAAATTTTCAAATAGCCTCATCAGATGGACAAAATTGATTTTAGCATATTTAACCCAGTATATTCTAAATATTTCATGAGGTGGCTTGGTAGTCAGGTATGATTGGTGCCTACTGTGTTGGACAGGACAGATCCGAACTGATTTTACCAGGCCTGGCCCTGGAAAGATGTGTGTGTGATCGCCTATCTAGTAGGATCAGGAGAGGCCAAATGGTAGTCTCTCTCTGTTAAAAAGATACCAGATGGAACACGGAGCAGCAGTCTGCATTTCTGCTGACTGCGCTGTTTTTCCTCATGCTTTGCCTTAGAAACCTGTGTGTTTCTGCTTTTGACTTTCACCTTCCTAAGGGAAGCGCTTTTTGGGACTGGTACCAGGTGTCTCCAGTTGCAGCTCCAGAGGGTTCCAGGCAGACTTTTTTCTAGCTGCTTTGGGACTGAAGTTAGGATTCTTCTAGAGCCCTCTAGACTTGTAGAAGACAGTGAGCTCTAGTTGTTCACTGTCTTGAGATAGCTCTCTGCCTGTCTTGTTGACTAGATTTCCACAACATAATATTAGATAGTAAGGCATGTGATCTGAAGGCTTCTTTGCCCCAGGAATTCAGTGAGAGGTAAATAGGTGATTATTAATTGTTCCCAGTTAGATTTAATACTAAAGACTGAAAAGGAAAAGGTTTTCCTGTAGTACAAGGTTTTCACTGTGGCCACATCACAGGAGACAGTAGAGAGCTGATGAGGATCTCATCACCTCAGACACATGCCCACCTCACCGCTGGGATGGAGGATGGGGTCACAGTGTTGACAGTCTTTAATTCATATGTGACCCCAGGTACTACTTCCCTTCTGGGCCTACCACAGCAGGGAGGAGAAGTAGGGACTTTGGCTTTGAGTTTAGCCATAGTTGTGTCTCCTGTCCCCATCTGCTTCCAGAATCCCTGTTGCCCTCTTGTAGGGACTCCAGTGTTCCCTTGGCCCAGCCCTTCTGTCTACCCTGCAGTTGGCTGCTGTCTGGACTGCAGGCTGTGGGGTGTGTCTTCCAGATAGGTTCTGGGCTTCTGGCCCTGTGCTGACCTTCTCCTCTTCCTAGTCATCTCTGGAGTGGTGACATTGCTCATTGGGGCCATTATCTTGTAGGCTTTCTGCTCCCTTCTGGGTAGGAGTAGGTCCAGCCACACCAGTTGTTCTGGCTCCTGGTATCTCCCTGGGGCTTTGTAGACATCCTATGCAGATGTTCCCCTCATGGCCTAGAGCACTTCTGTTCCCTGCTCTTTCTGGCTGCTGCCTGCTTCACCTTTAAGACCTAGCTTTGGTATCACCTCCCGATTTGGTACACACTTATTCCTTCAGTATTTGGTAAATAAATGTCCTGCTGTGCAAGTGGTGCTGAGCTGGAGGTTACAAAAATGAGACCATCTTAGACTTTGTGTTTATCAAAGCAAACTGACAGGGAGCCAGTACTCTGCAGCTTTCAGCCTCTGTGTGGGTGGTGATGTCAATTCTGTGTACCTGGGTCTTCTTAGTGCTCTCCAGGCACCACGGCCCCACTTTATCCCCTCCCTTCTCTTAGCACTCAGCACACCGTGGAAACAGCTGGTATTTTTTTCCCCCTAGGCCAGTCTCACTTCAACTTACCTCGTACGTGCAGTCAACATTGGTTGAATTCACCAGTGAAGCTTACCTGATAGAATCATTTCTCATAGATACCCAGATGTATGGATGGTTTTCTTTATTGAGGACCAGTGTTCAAATGCTGCTAAAAACAGCCCTAGCTGTAGCCTCAGTGCCTGGGGGTTATCTTGTGCTTACCAGTAATGCAATGTGGTCTCTAGGTGTGTCACTTGCTGTTAGGCCCGCAGAGCCGGTTTCCACCCCGCCTCTCCTGTGGGAGTCACTGCGTCTGAGGTCTGCACATTTTGTTGGATGGCAGTGTAGATGAAGTTCTTTGGTCTTTCTTCTTGGGATTTCTTCACAGGGGCAGTCTGGAGGTCTGTGGCCTTTAACTTGTGATCCAGTCTCTTTATTTAAACCATGGTTTGTGGTTTGTTTTTCTCCTATATCCTGGTTACCTTTTTAAGATGTATTTTCTTTCAGAATACAATTAATTTATGGCATGCAGTTTTTTGGATTTGGACTGGTGCATGAAATCATGACTCTGTCCTGATAGTCACAGTGTAGTCAGCTGTCACCTTGCCTCTAAGCCCTGGCCACTCCAGTTTTGTTTTCTGTGTGTGTAATTTTGCCTATTCAGAACATTGCATAAGTGGACTCAGACAGCATATGGCCTTTATGGTCTGGCTTCTTGCTCTTAGTGGTGTGCATTTGATATCATCCATGTTGGTGAGTTAGTGGTTTGGTCTGTTGTGTAGATGTGCCACAGTCTGTTTATTCTCCAGATAAAGTAGACTCAGGTTATTTGCAAGTTTTGATGGTTGTGTGTAAAGCTCTATACACATTCACACACAGGTGTACACATAGAGTTGCTTGATGAATGTGTCACTTAGAAATGCTAGTGTTTCCTAAAATAGCTCGCTCTTTGGTATTTCCACTAACAGTTTATGAGCATTCTGGTTGCTCAACACGCCTGTCAGAGTTTGATATTGTTAGCTTCAAAAACTATTAGCCATTAGAACTAGAGATTTTTGTTTTTGTTTTTGTTTCACTGCATTGGGGAGTGCAGTCAGGGTAGAGCTATATTTTTGACCATTTTACTTTTTATTTTGAGATAGGGCAGCTGTATTGTCCAGGCTGGTCTTGAACTTACACCTACAGCTTTCTGAGTGGCAGTGATTACCGGCATGTACTATGCTCAGCTGATCTGCAACTTTTTCTGTATATTCTGGCCATTAGTTGATGTGATTTGGCAAGTGCCCTCCATACCTATTCGAGGTTTGATTTCTTGAGATGGATGGGTGCTCAGAGTGAAGGAGCAGCTGGGAAATGAGTCTTTCCTAAAACTCTTTGAGGAAAGTGTCACTGTCTTGGGATTTAAAAAGATTTCTTATTAATTGGATTAAAAATTTTTGTTAGAACAAAAGCTTCTGTGGTGGATTAACTAATGGTTAATTTGTAACACCCAGCTGAACTGAATCAGTGTGGTTCTGGTTGTAGAAGGTCTATCTGAGGATTGTTGCCAACAACATAAAAAGAGAGCTGGAAGGGAAGATGGTGAGCTGTTGACCCTCCTGGAGAAGCTTGTCATGCTGGCTTTCCTGCTATGAACTCAGCTGTTCTCATCATTGGAGGAGCTCAGGTCCTTGCTGTCACTAAGGACAGCTGTGGTTGTCTTTGGGGGAAGCTCTAGTCCTTACCTTGAGCATCACTTCCTGGCTCCAGCACAAGATCCCTCAGCCTGCTGGCACAGATCCTTCATCTCACTGGAATAGACTTTTTAGCTTCTGCCACTGAGCTTTGGGCCTACCCAGTGCAGATCCTTGATACAGACTTGCATGAGACATTGTCATTGGCTCCAGACCTCAAGATGGACTTGTAGATGATGTTGCTATGGGCTCTGGGTCTTCATCTGGACTTCTACAGGCCCTCAGCTGGATTTTTTGGATATCTACTGCATCAGATCTTTTGCATTCTTCTGCATTTGACCTTTTGGATGAATATTGTAAAATAGTCCTATAGGGGCCAGGGATTTAGTTCAGTGGCATAAACACCTGCCTGGCAAGTGCGAGGTTATGAGTTTCATCCTTGGTACCAAAAAAAAAAGTCCTATAAATTATGTGTCTTGTCTCACCTCCCCTCCAGCAAGTGTTCAAGACTATAAATTATGTGTCTTGTATTAAATTTATTATCTTGTACATCCTGGCTATAACAGCTACCAATCCTGTAATTCAAATTTCCTTGTTTTCTCCTTATTGCTCCCTTTCACATGACAAGGTGCACAGTCTCCATCAGACATAAGTTTTTAAGCTCTTGGTCCTACTTGTGGCCATAACAAATTTTTCTTACTCTCTTTCTAGGCTCCTAATCGTCAGCTCATGACTTACTGGTTACAGGAGTTGCAGCAGAAAAGATGGGAATATTGCAACGGCCTGGACATGGTGAAGTGGGACAGCAGGACGTCCCCCACTCCTGGAGAGTTCCCTAAGGGCCTTGTAGCCAGAAGTAACACAGGTAATGTGGCGGGGAGAGAGGCCATGCCAGTTCTCTCTGTGTAGCCACTTGACCCAGCAGGTCACCTTGGCTGTGGATAAACGTGAATTCAGAATGGAGATAGCAGTGATGGTCCCTTCTAAACTGGCAACATCCCACACTTATGGTGCTTCTAGGTTCAGAGTCATGTTCAGCGTAGGGATTTTAACCCTCAAGTACTCATTTTTTTTTTTTCCTGGATTCATGGCATTTGAATAACTTTCAATAATTCCTGACCGTTTGCAATCCAGGGATGTGCTGTTATATTTGAATATCAAAAATTAACCCTTATGATCTTTACACCACTATGTGGTTGTGTTGAGCCCTCTAGAGAGACTGAAAATTATTTGCTGACCCTGTCACCTACCTATCTGTCCTGTTACCTGTAATGGGGGAGGACTTCTTTTATGGCCCTCACCAATCATTTAGGGAGAAGAGTAGGCCCAGAGCAGGGCAGGAACCAGGCTCTGAGTTTTGACATGGGACTGAAATGGCCAAGCCATTGTCCTAGTAGTTTTGAAGGTCACAAAGAGTACATATATGATTTCAGCCTCTAAGGCCTGGTTCTAACCCTTCCCTGAAAAGGGTGGTCTGTACTTCCTAAAGCTTGAGGACCCACTGCTGGACCACACACAGCCCCTCTGAGAATGGTGTTGGCACATACGCAACTGCTTTGTTCCAGAGACAAACACCCTTTTAGAATTTTCTTCTTCACATTTGTCACAGTGTTGTTTAGCAGGCTATCTGTGGACAATGAGAAGTCATAGCACTTTGTGTTTTCCTGAGAGCTCCCCAACTTTTCCTGTGGATGCCATAGAACCAACCTCATGTTCAGGTTCATGTCTCTCTATTCTGTTCAGGAGTCTCCTGATGCTAGGCTGAGTCTTTGAAAGGTCACTGTTGACATGCTTTCTGTTAGGTCTGTGAGAAGGGGGAGGCGGAGAGAGAAGTCTGCGGGAGGAATGGAGCGGAGTGGACGGCCGTAACAGTAGTGGTCAGCGGTGGCTTTATTCCGGGAATGCGGGGAGGGGGCCCCCGCCGCCGGCGGTGCCGGCCCCGGGCATCTCTGCACGGAGCCCGGGGCCGGGCTGTGGTGTCTCTGGGAACACGGGGAGTGGAGACTGGCGCGCTGGAGTCTGGCAAGCTCTCTCTTTCTGGCGAACTCCCTCTGGCAAAACTCCCCGGCGAACTCTCTCAGACACGTGGCGTGGGAGATCTAAATAGCCTAAGCTTAGGGCAGCACCCTAACTTCATTAGAGATGCACAGATATCTCATTGGCGCACAGGTCCTTAAGGATGGGGATACAGAATTACAATCAAGTCCATAGGGGGCAGGGTGGGGGAGGAGTTTAGGTGCAGCCTTTTCTGGTTACAGTGTTTTATCTGGGCCGGCAACTCTTTCATATCCCGTCTTCTGGTTATTAGGAAAAGGGGCGAAGATCTCTCTCTGTAACTACTTCCTGCTGGCTGAGGGCGCTGTATTGGGGTCTAGGGGAGTTTGACAGGATGAAGGTTGATGCCCAGGTAGACACTGATGCCAGGTGTTTTAGCCAGGACAACTTCACTGGTGAATGTATGTATGTCAGACTGGAAAAACAAAGAGACATAATGTTATTAGGAGACATGGCACTATTATATTTAAGGACCCAGGTGAGGTAGATAGGAAGGTGACTTTGGTTTTGAGATGGTATTTTATCAGGGTGACGTTGAGGTGGCAAGGCAGAATTCTGAAAAATAAACGTGGGATTAGGAGGAGTGAAGTTATGAGAGGTGTTTACTCCCCCCTATGAAAGCATAAAAGTTAAAAGGTAGGTAGGTAAGGCTTGTCTCTGGTATATATGATGTTGGAGTCTGTAGGCAACCGTGTTAAGGACTCCCGCTATAGAAATGATTATTAATAGAATGTAAGAAATTAAGAATCAAACTGGACAACAAAACATGACAACCTGTGAGTCATAAGGCAGAGATGAGCATCAAAAGGATGGTTAGATCTAGGGCCTGAGTAATGTGAGACCAGAATGGCAGTTTAAAAGGGAATAAAAGCATTTTATGATTTAGGACTGGGACCTGTATAAAAATGGGCCTGTTTGTAAATGGCATAGGTTGACCATCAATACCATGTCATAGAGATTGATTTAATATAGCAACCTGAATACTCAGGAAGAATCCTGTATATATGGCCTCTATGTCCACAAATATAGAGAATATCTTACCTGAGACTGTAGTGTGACTTGGAATCTGAGACGGACACCTTAAAGGGGGCTGTTGTTATCTTGAACCCCCTCAGCCTCCAGCAGCGAATTTTTGTCGGTGACGAATCTGGCAGTGTCGACATTTCCTATGAGGGCTAGAACTTAGGATGGCTTACCCACTCTCTGGTGGCTAGGACAGTCCAGTAGCCCTGGAGTAAGGTCTCAAAGAATGCCAGGATGGGACATTTTTGTCCAGTATCTTCTGCTGCATTTGAGCGTGGTCCATGGAGGGGGCAGGCAGCTCCACCTTGTGTAGGTTTACCTGTCTCAGAACTCCAAGTGTCACAAGTGTTAAAAATATAAAAAACCATATTAAGATCTCTCTAAGGTTTGAAGGTCAAGTTTTGCCTTTTTGTTTGGGATTTGGACTATAGTAGAATTAAGTAAGTATAGGTTTAGCAATCTTATGAATAAATCAAAACTGATATAATACTGTCAGATTTTGAACACAGTTACTTTTAAAGTTGTTATTTGCAGTACTATGAATCAAGACAAATAAAATAAAACTTTGAAGAAAACCCTTGTCTTGAAATAGAGCTAGTGGTTCCCAGCAAAAAGGAATTTATAAGCTTAGTTGTTAAACAGGAGATTGGTGAAGGCTTTGATAAATAAGGTTGGTAAAATAAAATAAAACTTTGAAGAAAACCCTTGTCTTGAAATAGAGCTAGTGGTTTCCAGCAAAAAGGAATTTATAACCTTAGTTGTTAAACAGGAGGTGGTGAAGGCTTTGATTGATAAACAAGGCTGATAAAATTATCAGGTGGCCAGTAACTTTGATTAAACGGTTTGAGAATTGTAATAAAAAAGCATCTCTTGAGCGGAGCCAAATTGTAAAAAAAGCATGCCTGAGCAGAGCCGCTGAGCTGCTGTGTGTGCGGTGCCGCGGAGAGGTAGGCAAGGAACGTGTAGAGTGGGCGGGGCGAACGCGGGACACTGTAAGCAGACAGCGGAGGCTTACTGTGTCGCGCTAATTGTCATGCGGCACCAGTGGCAGCCTGTGTGTGTGGTGCCGCAGAGGGGCAAGCAAGGAACTGCAGAGTGGGCGGGGCGAACGCGGGACACCGTAAGCAGAGAACGGAGGCTTACCGTGACGCGCTAAGCGGCGCAGGGAAATGACGTCGTTCCGCTGCGATCGCGTAAGGGGGTGGGGCTTGGAGGCCCCGAATGGTGATCCCAGTTAACGCCTGGCGTCAGTGGGAGCTGCAGCTCGCGTTCGGTCCCCCGGACGGACGGGGCGACGGCCGAGGCGGGCAGCAGAGATGGTGGCCGCGGCGGGCAGGGGCAGTCAGAGGCAAGGCTTTGCTGATCCCAGTTGGCGCCTGGCGCCAAAGGGAGCTGTGGCCGCGTCCCGGAGGGGCGGGGCGGTGGCAGAGGCAGTCAGAGGCACTGCTTGCTGGCTGCGCGGAGCCCCGCGCGCGTGGGGCGGGGCGACAGAGGGGGTGGCCGCGTCCCCGGAGGGGCGGCGCGGCGGCCAAGGCGGTGGCTGTGCCCCGGAGGGGCGGGGCGACAGCCGAGGCGGGCGGCAGAGATGGTGGCCGCGCCCTGTAGGGGCGGTGCAGCGGCAGAGGCAGTCAGAGGCATGGCTTGCTTGCTGTAAGGAGCCCGGTGTGTGGGGCAGGGTGTGGCCGCAGGAGAGGCACAGCGTGAAGTTAGGTGGGCTTTGTTTTGAAAGGCTCACGGCCACGCCAGAGCTGGGCGCGCTGTGAAAGCCACGGCTTTTGGGCGGCTACGGCGGGTGGCGTATGGCGCAGGGACGCTGCCGCCATGTGGGTGGTGAAACAGGAAATGAATGGGCTGGGCTGGAGACCAAAGCCAGAGAGGCCACAGAATTGGAACGCAATGTGAGAGGGAAAGAAAGAAAAAAAGGCTGTTTTTAAAATTAAAAGCAGTTTGATGTGAATTTTAGGTTTGTCTGGTCTTATTTAACTTCGGGAGAACGGCGTAAAGTGGGAAACAAAAGGAAGAGGAGCCAGGCGCGGGCGGAGCCAATGAATGGAGGGGCCGGGGCTTGAGCCGCTGCGCCGGCGAAATAAACAGAGCTAAAACATGGTGGAGGGGGGGAGAGACGCCTGGCGCAGAGGAGCCAGGCGCGGCCCCCCCCTGGGGTGACCAGGCCCCGCGGGCCACGCGGGAGACCGTCTCATGACCGCAGGACCAGCGGCGCCTAGGCGGCGCGCGGAGGCAGCGCGCGGCGGGGAGGGATCTGCGCCGGGAAATAAAGGCGCTTTAAAAGTCCTGTAAAGGGCCCCCCTCCCTGGGGTGACCAGGCCTCACGGGCCACGCGGAAGGCCGTTATGACCGCGGGACCGGCAGCGCGGAGGCGGCGCGCGGCAGAGAGGGAGAGGAGCCGCGCTGGGAAAGAAAGCTGCTTTAAAAGTTTTGTAAAGGGCCCTCGCGCCCAGAGCCGCTGCGCCGGCAAAAGAAAGGGAGCTATAACGTGGGGGTGGGGGGGAAGAGGCGCCGGGCGTGGGCCCCCCCTGGGGTGACTAGGCCTCGCGGGCCACGCGGAAGGCCGTCATGACTGTGGGACCGGCGGCGCCGAGGTTGTGAGTGGGAGCCGGAAGAAGGGCGCGCGGGTCGGGGACACAGGAACAAAAGAGCGCACTCTGGGAGAGAAACAGCCTGTTTTAAAAGTTATCAGGGGAGTTAATTATCCGAGTGGTAGTGGATTTTTGACTGCAGAAGTAAAGAAATTTTAACAGCAGGGGGACTATAAAACAAAACTGAGAAAAGTATAGTCTCTCACCTGCCGCCGAGTCACAGGGCACCATCTGTTAGGTCTGTGAGAAGGGGGAGGCGGAGAGAGAAGTCTGCGGGAGGAATGGAGCGGAGTGGACGGCCGTAACAGTAGTGGTCAGCGGTGGCTTTATTCCGGGAATGCGGGGAGGGGGCCCCCGCCGCCGGCGGTGCCGGCCCCGGGCATCTCTGCACGGAGCCCGGGGCCGGGCTGTGGTGTCTCTGGGAACACGGGGAGTGGAGACTGGCGCGCTGGAGTCTGGCAAGCTCTCTCTTTCTGGCGAACTCCCTCTGGCAAAACTCCCCGGCGAACTCTCTCAGACACGTGGCGTGGGAGATCTAAATAGCCTAAGCTTAGGGCAGCACCCTAACTTCATTAGAGATGCACAGATATCTCATTGGCGCACAGGTCCTTAAGGATGGGGATACAGAATTACAATCAAGTCCATAGGGGGCAGGGTGGGGGAGGAGTTTAGGTGCAGCCTTTTCTGGTTACAGTGTTTTATCTGGGCCGGCAACTCTTTCACTTTCTATGAAAAGATGCTCTGTGACTCAGTTCCAAGTCACTTGAGACATGGGACACTTTGGGAAACCAGCAGCATTTTTAATGGTGGCTCATGACTTTTCCCAGAGGACACTCTTGTTGGCCTTTGTTAGTTTACTTTGGTGACTCAGTGCTGCTGTATAGCAGAGATGCTGACATGTGACCTGGAAGGATGGCAGCTTCTCTAGAACACCTCTTTTGCTTTCTTGAATGAGAGCACTGACACTAGTGACAGAGTTGTATGGAGGTGATCTTTGTCTGAATTTGGGGATTCTAGTGTGGACTTTGGAGTTCCTGCTGTCTGACATTCTGCATTCAGCCTGATCCTTGCCTCCTGGAGTTTCCAGTTAAGCAAGGTAGTCATGCAGAGACAGATAAGAGAGAGTGAGGGGGAGGCATGTGCAGGGGCCCAGGCCCATGTTTGGGCTAAGTGTGCTTTTTTAGACTTTAGGAGATGAGCAGAGGCCAACCTGATTAAAGAACAATTGAGGCAGGAGAGCTGGAGTGCTGTAGGGCCAGCAAGCCAGCCTGGGCCCACTGAGGTGGAGTTAGTGCCATAGCTGGCCAAGGAGCATCCTGACTACAGGGTTTTAGACTATGTCCAAAGCACAGTGGAGCATCTTTGAAGAGACCGTGTGTAGGAATGACCAAATTTTCTACCAAACTTTAGATAACTTCACAAACAATGAAACCCCTGGGTCATTTTCAATACCATAACATTCAGGAGATAAAAAAGTCTAAAGCAGGAAGCCAAGGAAAGGAGGCTGTATTTTAGCTGCTTTTCTTTTATCACCAGAGAGAAAAATGGGTTAAAGATAAATTTTTGGTGGTGCTGTGGGATGTCCTGAACCCATGCATGTAGTTAGTTACCTGCTCTGTTTAGCGTAGCCATGCTAACTTGAGCTAGAGTTAACAGTGAACATTTTTAATAATGCTGGTTTGCATGGGAAAAAAAACAAAAACTAAAACCTTCTACTGCTGTTGTCTCCCGGTCATCTACTTTGTCTAATGGTGCCCCCTTATCAAGACCCTTTAATACTGAAGGTACTGGGGAAAGGTTGAGGAATTGACTCTCTCTATAGATAGCCAAGCCCCTCTGATCTGAGGAAAGAAGCCCTGTGCATCTGGTTGGAGGTCTTTCATCCGGTAGCTCCTGCTAATCAGGCTTTAACCAAGTCACTTTACTTCCCAAACAAGAGTACAGATTGCTGTGGAAAGTTTGTTCACTTCTTTCATGTTGGTGTTGTTGGGATTGAGTGGAAAACCAGTTGTTAAGATGAAGAGTTATAACATAAAAGCACTTATAATATATGCATGCACCCAAACACAGTGTACATGCACACATACGTATATGACATGAATGGGTTAAGATTATGTTCAATAGCACTTGACAGTTGTTACTTGTTGCTGGGATTAAACACCTGACATCCAAAGTTAAAGAGGGGAAGAGCTTTATTTAGCTCACAGTTTGTAGTGGTTTCAGTCTATAGTCGGCTGGCTACAAGGCAGGGTAGCACATAATAGTGGGGCAACAGTTCATGGTGGTGGAAGATACCAAAAGCAATAAGAGAGGAAGGAGCAAAGTGAGCTCAATAGGGAAACCATAAACAGATGCCCCTCTACAACACCACCCTGCCCCAGAGCCAGCCGGTTATGGACTGAGACCGCTGCAAACTGTGAGCTAAATAAACTTTTCCTTCTTTAACCTTGGGTATCAGATATTTTGTTTCGGCAACAAGAAAAGTAACTACAACAACAGGAAACCTCACAAGGACTTACAGATAGTGTGTACTTGTCCCACATGATGGGCAGTGGATGACTGGCATAGCTATTCACTGCTATTGAGGGATCCAGGTATTTCTGACCCTGTGCTTTCCATTCTTGCAGTATACTTGCCTTCCTGCTCATCTTTGTTGTTCCTGGGAGTTGTGTCTATATGAAAAAGGAGGATGCTTTCCCAGAAACTGCAGTGCATGGGTCATTAGCTAGCACTGTGTCACATGGCCATTCCTCATGGCAGTGTCACATGGCTGGAAGCAGTCTGGGGAGCCAAGTGATTCAGCAGAGACATAGCCTCCATCAAAACAGAGGTCTCTGAACAAGGAAAAACATGAATGAATATTTGACAGTGAACTGGCACTGTCCCTTAGCTGCCTGCATTCATGTTTTGCCCTAAAGTCCTGTCTTCATGGTGAGACTCTTACCCAGTGCTGGATTTTCAGCCTTGTGCAGGTCAGGAGTGTGAAGCCTGCGTGGGTGCCACAGGCTAAGTGTCTGAGGCCTGTTCGAGGATGGATGCTGTTTCTTGCAGAAACTTGTGACGATGGTTTGAGGGATGACCGCACATTTCCTCCCTTGCAGCAGCTGCTTTTTTGTATTTCATCGTAACCCTTAGCAGCTGTGAGTGGGAGGAGGAGCAGCACCTGAGAGCACCCAGGATGAGTCGCCCACTAGGCTGGTTAAAGTTTATACATCTGTTCCCACCCACTGCAAGAACACACACAGCAGAGTCCTGAGGGCAAACCATTGCACACCCAACACCCAGCTCCAGAGGAGGATTCAGCTGTCATCCGTAAAACAACTATCCTCTGCACCTGGTTCAGGCTTTCTGGGCAGGAATGGATGGAAGGCAGAGCTGGCATTGACCACATTCAGTCAGTTCATGTCCTCTATTAAGGCTGTGGTCTCTCGTAGTGATCCCAAAAGCACTGCTTCTGTGTCATCCCATTTGGGAAATGCTGCAGAATGTCACATCGCATTTTAGTGTGAGGTGCTATACGCTGACCAGTGTTGTTTCTGAGAGGCTATTTCTTCATGGAGCCTCTAGGAGCCCACAGAGAGGTGAAAGGATACTATCTGGGTAGGCTGGGGGGCACAGTCTTGTGGGGACACTTGGACCTGCACGTTTGGTGGGAGTTGGTGGTGATGAGAGGGGAGGGTTGCTGTGGATGGGGGTTGGTGCCAGGTGACTGCATGTCGTTGAGCCCATCAGAGGGAGGTGATTGGAGAGGGAGTCAGGAGGGACCGTGCCTTTCTCATTCTCTGCTAAACATGGGAGTGAGTTACCATCTTCTTCACTTACTTAGCTGTTTTACGGATGACAGCTGAATCCTCCTCTGGAGTTGGGTGTTGGGTGTGCAGTGGTTTGCCCTCAGGACTCTGCTGTGTGTGTTCTTGCAGTGGGTGGGAATAGATGTATAGCTTTAACCAGCCTGGTGGGCGACCCATCCTGGGTGCTCTCAGACCCACCTCTCCATTTGTCGCTTAGATGGTGCCATGTACTTACTTGGAAGATGATTTCTCCTCATGACTGCTTCTTCAATCTGGGTTAAAACTTGATTTGATTATGAAAAAGGCATTTCAGATTCATCCACCCCATCTGCCATGGTGATGCCTTGGCTCCCATTTGTGCTGTGCTCTGAGGCATGGTGGACTTCAGGGGTGTCATGGTTTATGTCAGTGGCCCCCAAGCCTCATGAATTATGGACTCCACCAAGTCTAAGTCTAGCATTTGATTGGTTCACTGTCTAGGCTCGGATTGATGGTATGAGTGCTACACCCGCCTATGGGTCGAGTCGGCATACTATGTAATGGCAGGAAGAGGGTGTGTCTCTCTGTCTTGCTGGTTCACAAGTTGCTGTTTGCAGCTGCCATGAATGGTTGCCCACCATGCTACCCCTCGGCTTGTAGCTAGCTGAGTATGGACTGAAACCTCTACAAACTATAAGAAATAAACCTTTCCTTCCCTAATTTTGGGTGTCAGGTATTTTGTCTCAGCAACAAGTAAAAAGTAACTGAGACAGTGGGATTCTCCTGGTCGTGTAGTTTCCTGGGAGCAAAGTTGCTTGTGAAATGGTAGGCTTGGCTGCTATGGCAGGGTAGGAGCTGGAGGGAAATGGGAGTCTCCTACGGCAGGGCAGGTGTGAGCAGGGGCCTCCCTAGAAGACCCCCAGCAGGAAACCTGGGCTGTCATCCAAGCTGAAGCCTCTTAGGTTGCTGGAATTAAGAGAGTGCTAGTGGGCTGGGGATTTAGCTCAGTGGCATAAGTGCCTACCTTGCAAGTGTGCGTGGTTGTGAGTTTGATCCTTGGTACAAAAAAAAAAGAGAGAGAGAGAGAGTGCTGGAGTCAGGACCCAAGAGATATAGACATTGCAGTCTGAGCTCCCAAGAAGTGTCACTTAGGCACTGGAAAAATGTTTAAAGAGAACAAAGGAATCAAGCATTATGTACACCTGTAACCCCAACACTCTTGGGGGCTGAAGCAGAAGGATTTCAAATTTGAGTCCAGCCCAGGCAATTTACTAATTTCCTGACACATTGTCTCAAAATAAAAGGGATGTAATTCGTGCAAAGGTCTTGTTCAATCCCCCAGTATGGGGAGGGAGAGAGAGAGATAGAGAGAGAGAGAGAGAGAAAATAAGTCTGTCTTCCCTGGCCTCCAGTTCTTTTGTACTCACCGCCAGCACTCCTGCATTCCTCAGGAAACTCTTTTGGCTTGGGACAGGATTTCTGATGTTGAGTGCTCAGGGACACCAGAGTATGGTAATTGTTGCTGCACAGGAAGGAGGGCTGTCCTGAATGCCCACAGAAATGAGTGTAGCTGGCCAGCCTGGAGTCATTTGTTTTGCCTGTGGTAGGTCTGTGAGCAGCAAGCCCTGGATGCTGGGTAACACTTTATCTTTTCTGAGGTAAGGGGTAGAGCCTTCCCCATTCTTCCTGAGCCCGTTGCCTGACATGAGCTCCAAACTTGCCCAGCATGGTCCTCTACCCTCACCCTGTGATGTTGGTCACTGCAGGGACAGGCAGTACCTCTGTCCCTGGCTCTGGAGTTTGTAACTCCTGCCTTTTGCCTTGAGTTAGGGCTCTATTCCCACACCCATGATTCTTCCATCCCTAGCACCCTCCTTGGCTTTTCCTGGTCAGAACCTTGGCATAAGCTGGTGTTGATTTTCCTGACTGAACTAAATGCCCCTAGAAGGACAGCAGCCTCTTACTCATGTCACACTCTGGATGTCTCCCACATGGACATCAGAACTTTGCATATCAGTGCTGAACCAGGGTCCAGATAGTTGCTTGTTCATACATGGCAAGCCTGTCAGCAGGTTCCTGTGAGGACACTGGTCTTTGAGGATCACTCTGCTGTCTTAACCCTGCCCAGTGATCTTACAGAGGGCTTTCCTAAATGATGTGGCATGTGCTGGTTGGGTTAGAAGCTAACATTAGTCAGAAGTTCCCTTATGATTTTCTTCTCCTAGAAAGAGTGAGGGCTGATACTGCTGATGTAGGTATGCTTTATAAAAAAGTATAGACCACATTGACTATGGTGAAGTAATACTAAGTTTTGTTTCCAGATGTGTCCTGTCCCTTAGTTGTGTCATTTGAAAGAATACCAAGTGTTTGTAGTTTGGAAAGCATTTAGCAGTTTTTTAAAAGTGACTTTTAATTATGAGAAATTTTGAACATGTAAAGAGAATAACAACGCATCACTTCCGTGCTTGTTAGTTTCAAAAATTATTTCATAGCAAGTGACACAGGCATGTAATCCTAGCACCTTGGAGGCTGAGGCAGGAGGGTTGCCATGAGTTCGAGGCCAGCGTGGACTACACAGTGAGACCCTGTCTCAAAAAACAAAATGAAACAAAACAAAACTTAAAAACATTACTTAATGAACTTTTTTGGTCTCTTTTATTTTGTTATTTTGAAGCAAGTAACATGTTTGAACAAATACTATTATATATTGAAGTAAGAAAATAGCATTATTGTGAAATAAAACCTGGATATATCACATCAACCTTAAACATGTCTAAAACTTAAATTTTAGGGATAGATTTTGAAACTTGGTTGTATGTTAGCACCACTGTGTTTGCTTATAATTTACTAAACTATGATGTGCAAACTTTTTTAGTGTTGCTATTTGCAAGAACTAGCAAATACATTTATCTTTGGATTCCTCCTACTTTATTGATGGAAAGGGAGTGGCCGTAATTTGATTGACACTTTTCTTTCTACCTACTGGTTTGTTCTGAAGCTGGTTCCTTATCAGCATAGGTGAGTGGACTTTGCTCTCAGTTCCACCAGGCTTACTAATCTACAGTGGGAGGAGTCCTGGATGTTCTGTCCTTGTCCAGTGCTGGTAATACTGGGTAGTTTGAAACATATTACAGCCTTTCTTCTAGAAACAGGTATCTACTTTAATGAAAATGGCCTCAGATTGTGGTTTTTATATGATAAACTACCCACAGATGTGATTTTTATCTGGTAATCATTAAAAATGTGCTATTATTCATATAGTTGAGATTTTCTGTGTAGCGTATCAAGTCCATGTTTCATGTAGGTGATCACATTTCATGTGGAGGTTTTGAGTAACTGACATTTATTTGATTTTCTTTCAGATGTTATTTATCCGCACCCAAATACTTCCGCAGAAAAAGCCAGAAATGTCCTATCCACGGAAACTATTCCTGGAGAGCTGGTGGGAGAACAAGCTGCAAACCAGCCAGCCCCAGGACACCAGAACCCCATTAACTTCTACTCTCTGAGACAGTGGGGCAGTGAGCTCAAGTGAGTGGTACATGGCATAGGAAACTGGAAAAGGCTTATTTCTGATAATACACATCACAACATACTTGTTCGTATATGAAATTATAAAGTCAACTGTACACTTGAGTGAGTTGTCTTTTACAGCATATTTCCCCATGACTAATTTTTTTTTTTAGTTTATAAATGATGTTTTTGTTCTGTGGCTGATACCCTGCTGAACATCATCATTTAAATGCTTGGGTCTGAGATAAGTTGTGTGGTTGATGTTTCAGAGGCTGAAACTGGCTGATGTCAGTGTGTCTAAGGCCTCAGAGCTCCCAGGGCCTCTTGCTCAGAGGTTCTTGCTCTGACTCTACACTCCAGGCTGGCCCAGGCCTCTGCTCGAGACCTCCGTTCTCACTTGTGGTTGGGGCAATGAGAATGGAAGTTTTATTAAAAATGTGTTTATTCTTAAAGAAAAACATCTTTTTTGAGATACAATTCACAGACCATATAATCCAATCATTTAAAATACACAGTTTGGTGGTTTTCAGTGCATCCACAGAGTTATGCAACCATTACCACGTTCCATTTGAGAACATTCTCATTGCCCCATAAAGAAACTCGTTACTCGTTAGCAGTTGCTTCCTATTTTTTCTACCGCCTTGTCTTCCTTCCCACCTTTAGGCCTAAGCAACCCCTAATCTACTTCCTGTTTCTATAGGTTTGTTTATTCTGGACATTTCACATGAATGGAATCACATGAGACCTGTTAGGTCTGGCATTTTTCACTTGGCACAATATGTCCACGGTTTTTTTCATGTGGTAGCATGTCAGTATTGTACTTCCTTTCCCTAAATGGCCAAATGATATTCCCTTATATGGCTGGGCCATGTTTTGTTTATCTATTTATCATTTGGCAAGTTGAGTTGTTTCCATTACTATTACCAATAATCTTGCTGTGAACGCTCATGTGTACCTGTTGTATGTATTTATTTTATGCCAATCTTGCTGTGAACACTCATGTGTATCTGTTGTGTGTATTTATTTTATGCCAAGCTGCGAGATTGCTGGGTCTCATGATAGCTCTCTGCATAACCTTTTGAAGAACTGCCAAACTGTTCCTCAGTTGTACCATTTAACATTGACACCAATGGTGTGGTGTATGTGGGTTCTCCATATCCTTACCAATGCTTGCCATTTTGTACTGTGGAGTGGTTGGCTGTAACATTGGTGTTCCATTGTGGTTGGACTTGTATTTTCCTAGTAACTGGTGATGCTGAGCATACTTGCACTTACTTCTTTGTAAGTCTTTGAAGAAATGTCTATTGAGACCCTTGGCCCATTTTTAATTGGATTATATAATTTTTAATTAGCTGTGTGCATTATTTGAACAGAGGGCTTTGAGACAGTCCACTTTGCAGCCACAGAATCTAAAGACTTGGCCTGGTTTAGAAAATGGGATCAAGGGGCTGGGGATTTAGTGTCGGTGTCACTCCCGGCCGGCAGGAAGGACACACAACAAAGTCTGGCAGTGGACAACCTTTTCTTTTATTTTCCTTCTCCGTACAGCCTGCCCCGGGAATCCTCCCGGCCGAAGCCTCTGTTGGTCCGCTCCCCGCGGCTCCTTGCGTGCTTCTCCCTACAGTCTGTCCCGAAGCCTCTACCGGTCCGCTCTCCACGGCTCCTTGCGTGCTTCTCCCTACAGTCTGTCCCGAAGCCTCTACCGGTCCGCTCTCCGCGGCTCCTTGCGTGCTTCTTCTGCTTCTTTTGCTTCTTTTTTCGTGGCGGGAGAGGCACTCACTTTTATAGGGTTACAGTGGCCAATCAGTTCAAAGCGCGCGATGCGGGCTGATTGGCTAACATCAGTTGTTGCTAGGCAGACTATCTTACAGGGCGGGTTGTGAAGCAGGAGATCTTACAGGGCGGGTTGTTTACCAAGCAGGAAGCAGGAGATCTTACAGGGCGGGTTGTTTACCAAGCAGGAAGCAGGAGATCTTACAGGGCGGGTTGTTTACCAAGCAGGAAGCAGGAGATAAGCGCCATCTTAGCACACTCGATGGGAGGGGTAATCTAGCTCAGGCTTTGCTCTTTCCTACAGGCCTCACGTCCGCCAAGTAAGGCGACCGGGCTCGGGGCTGCGGCTCCCAACAATTTAGCTCAGCGATATAAGCGCCTGCCTTGCAAGTGTGTGGTCGTGAGTTCGATCCCTGGTACCGATAAAAAAAGAACAAGACAAAAAAAAAAAAAAAAAAAAAAAAAAAAGAAAAGAAAAGAAAATGGGGATCAGTGGAAAGGTTGTGTGCTGATGTGTTGTGGGACCTGGAGGTTTCTTGCTGTGCCACAGGGCCTGGCCAGTGATCAGGCTGTGCGGGCCAGGCATCTACACTGCAGAACTCAGATGTCCAGGGTATCCAGAAACACATTTCAAGAGGTAGCCTCTTTCCTTTGATCACTTTCTCTTTTTGTGTGTGTCTTTGTGGTTGAGTTCAGTATGATGAAGCATTTTTAGTTCATCAGACCTGGGTTTACATTAGGACTGGATAGGATATGTTCAGGCCCACACCTAAGAAGACTGGCACCATGAGGGAGAGTGCTGTGGGGTTCTAATCTGTAGACCTGCACTGATCCAGCTGTGTCTTGCTGTTCTCTTCTCAAAGCCTGTGGAGTCAGCTCCACTTATATGACATTAAGGTTCTTGGCAATGTGGCTTCAGTCCGTACCTTGGATAGGTGGACAGTGGTTTAGCTCAGCAGTGTAAGTACCTGCCTGGCAAGTGCAAGGTTGTCAGTTCGATCCCTGGTATAACCACCCCCCCACCCCGCGCAAAAAACAAACAAACAAAAAAAACAGAAAAAAGAAGTGTTCCTTGGGTGGCTGTTCCCCTAAGTTCTTGATCTTTCAACCTCTGTGTTCTGGTCATTTGTGCCTTCCTCTTTACCATAATTCTGTACTGTACCCATCTGCTCAGTCTGACCATCCCATCTGGTTGAGCCCCACTTACTCACTGTGCCTGTGTGCTCACTGTACTCTGTTTCATGAGGTTGTGTCCCACTCACTTTCCAGTACCCAGGGGCAGGGTGAAAGCAGCAAGGTGTCCCCACCTTTACCTAGAGCAGTACTGCTCCTCTGTGTCACAGCAGTGTGCTTCTCAGCAAAGAAAAAACTCATTTGTGCTTCCAGAATGTCAGAAAACCATGAGAAGACTCTCCCTGCGTTACTGCAGGTTGTAAAGGTGAGACTTAGAGAGTTAAAGTGATTGCTCAAGGCAATGGGGCAAGTGTGTGGCAGAGCTACAAGGCACACCTGGTCTCTTCCACCTTTACATGAGAGCATATGTGGAGGATGATGGATTTGCCAGGTTTTTGTTCCTGAGTAGTCTTTTCTGCCTTCAGAATTAGGTAAAGGAATGGGGCAGTGACACTCCTCTTCTACTGCTTGTTTTTTTTTGTCTTTGAGCTTAAGATGAGTTTTGAGTGCTGCTACCTAGGAAAGGGAGCATACGTCATTTTGGCATGTGACAACTGACAGAGCACGCTCAGAGTTGAGCATCACTGGGGTTACCGCCTGGCAGCCCTGCTTTTGTAGTGTGGCACATGGGTAAGAGCTAGGCTCCCTGAGTTCATTTCCCAGCTGTACCCCTTGGTAGCTGGGTGTTGTGGACAAATAAGTTAACATTCTTGTGCCTCCATTTCTCAGTTGTAAAAGAGGAGAGATACTGTATGGGCTTCATGAGGTGGAATGTTGATGATGAGCTAATAGTGCAGAGGGTCAGAGCACTGACTGGCACTGAGTTAGTGGGAGGTAGAGTTGGTGGCCAAGGTTGGGGGTACAGCTCATGACAAGTGCTCTTTTGCAGGATCACTTTCTATGGAGACCAAATGTGATGCTGTATGGATCTTAAGTGTTTATGGTGTTTGGCTTTTCTTTTGCTTATCATTTTATTTGTGACATGTTTTATGGAGGTTTAAATAAAATGTTTTGGGTGCCTGGGGATATTTTTATTTTTTTCTGTCCTGGGAATAGTACCCAGGGCCTGCATATACTAGGCAAGTCCTCTGCCATGAGCTACATTGCCAACCTGGAGATATTTTAATGACTTTTGAAACAATAAAACTATTTTATCTCTATAGTGTAGAGGAATAGCTCAAAAGTTGTGTGTCTTTTTTTTTTTTTAATGGATTATAAACAGTAACCAAATTGAGCATAGTCAGGGCTACAAGGAAAATTGAATGCTTGTATTTTCTTCATCACAGCATTTGTTAAGAAGCTGTCCTGATGAACTGACACTCAGAATTCCCTCTGCACTGTGGTCAGTGCTAGCTATATGAGATTAGAGGGCTCTGCAAACTGTACATTCCCCAAGACTCATCTGGGTTTGTTCCTGACCAGCTGATGCCTGATGCACCTGATAATTTTGTAATTTAGTGAAATACTTAGCAAACTCATAAAGTAAGGAAATGACTCATTTCTATGAAAAATAAATCAGACACAAGCAAAATTAGTAAAAATGGGTCACTAAAAAAACTGCTGTGTGGGTGACATAATTGTGAAAAAAAATCAGAGAATTATTAAAAGTTTGAGATTCTATGCTTATGTTGTTTCTAACTGTAAGTCTCCGTTCACTTTTTTTTGTCTTTTTTTTTCTTTTGAGATACAGTTATACTATAAACTGTAGGCTGGCCCAGAACTCACAGCTATCCTCCTCCTGTCTCAGCCTCCCAGTGCTGGGATTATAGACAGGTGCCACCATAACCAGCCTCTGTTCACTTTTATAAAAGTGACACACGAAATTGAAATAGCATGAGGGGCTGGTCCGATGGCAGTGGGTTATCAGAACTTATTAACATTAGTATCACTAATGTTGGTATACCACCCCCCCCCACTGCTAAATTTGACTGGCTTTAAAAAAAAAATAGCATGAGGATGTCTTTTTTTTTAGTTTGTGGTTTGTTTTTCTTTCTTTCTTTCTTTTTTTTTTTTTCCCTCTCTGTCTTGAGACAGGATCTCACTGTATAGTTCAGGCTGACCTTGAACTCTTT